TCACTGAGCCACCGGGGACAGTGAGGAGCTCCTGGACGCCACCTGGTCACAGGCCTCAGGGGAAGCTCTTGGCCTCCTTGGAGGGGGCAGAAAGGACCATGCTACCACAGACACCTCTGGGCTCGAGCCTCTGAGCAAGCAGGCCAGGAAGGGTTTAACAAGGACCGCTTTTCTGAGTGTGGCCGCCGGGCAGGGAAAGCACATCAGTGCAACACCGGTGTTAACTACAATGTGAAAACAACACAGATTTGAAGGCTGAAATGTGAAGTCGAATGACGCACAGAACCGGAAGCAGACCCAACGCCGGGAGGGAGGAGGCTACAACGAACTGCTGGCTCTTACCAGTGGGGAGGTCACTGGGGTGCAAACGACGGACAAGCACTCGGCTAGTAACCAGAAGAGTGGGGGTTCGAACCCATCCACAGGTACCTCAGAAGAAAAGCCAGGCTCGCGACCTCAGAACATCAGAGCGACGTTAAACCCAATGGAGCACAGGCCATCGGCAGCTCAAGGTTGCCAAGAGTGGAACTGACCAGATGGTGTCTGGTTACTGGGGGCATATTAGTGACTGCTGTTGTTGGGTGCCCCTGAGCCCCTTCTTGGAACAGCAAAAAGCTGCCCAGTCCTGCACCACCCTCACCACCTCTGCTGCTTCTGAGCTCCTGGTGGCCGCATCCATGCCCTCGAGGGGTCTTCTTCCTCTGTCCGGGGACCCTCTGCTTTACTAATCACTGTAAAAGAACAAAGGTCGGACACATTTCCAGAAGGAGAGAGAAAGAGAGAGGAGGTAACCAAACCACTAAGTCATAAGAAGAAAGTAAAAAGCCAAGTAAAGAGGAGAGCCCTGAAGCAGACAGGGGCAACAGAGGCTGGCACAGGACCGGGCACAGGGCGGGTCGTTGTGGGTCAGAGCCCATCAACTGCACCTAAAGCCGACAGCACCACAGGAGAGCGGACATGCATCCTCACATCAGGCATCCGACTGAAGCCAACCAGGCAGGAGGGATTTTCGGGAGGAAGGCACCATGAAGAATGAAGCCAATGACCACAAAATGATGGAGGAGTAAAATCTGAAAACCCGGGGGCCAAGGGCTCAAGTAGAAAGAAAATGTTGTGAAAATGATGATGGCAACGTTGTACAAATGTGCCTGACACAATGGATGGAGGATTGTGGTAAGAGCTGATAAGAGCCTTCGATAAAATGATTTAAAAAAAAAAAAACCAACCAACCAAAAGACCAGTCCCTGGGCCGGGAGGAGCAGGGACTGAGAAAGCTCCGGCCCTGGCCCCCAGGAAAAGAAGCCTCATCTCAAATGCTAGACAAGGCTCACTGGTGACTCCCTCGCTCACTTCCCCCAGGCGGGCAAGCTGAAGGAACAGACCAGCCGGCAGCGGGGCACTGCGTGAGGTGGGGCAAAAGGTGCCGGAAGAAGAGTTCTGACGCAAAGGTACAGGGAAGGCCAAGGCTAAGGGGAGAGGAGAAACTTGTACCATCCAGCTGAGTCTCCACTCACGCGAAGGAATAGAACTTTTCTACAGAAGCCTGAGCAGTGTAAGACAAAGCAGACTGAGCCGCTAACCATAAAGTCAGCAGTTCAAAACCACCAGCCATTCCTTGGGAGAAAGATGAGGCTTTCTACTCCTGCCAGACTTCCTGTCTCAGAAACCCACAGGGGCAGTTCGACTCTGCCCAAAAGCCACCCACTGCAGGTCGGAATCGACTCAACGGCAGAGACTGCGATGGGGTTTTCGAGGTGCTCTGGGTTAGGCTAAGCTCGAGGCCAGCAGTTCAAACCCACCCGCCACTCCTCGGGAGGAAGACGAGGCTGTCTGCTCCTATAGAGTTTTAGGAGCCCCCGCACAGGGCTCACTGTGAGTCAGAATCGACCGGACAGTGCAGGGTTTGGTTTGGAGGAGGAAGCTACAGGTCGACAGGTCTTGCTGTGGGAAGCCCCCCACTCACGGTAAGGGGAATGTGGAACCATGAAAATGGGCCACAGCAACAACAAAAGTCCAATGATTGGCGCGCGCGTGAAGGGTCTCGCAAGAGAGGGGCGCTCCGTGGCGGCATCAATACTATTGACCTCGGGCCCTGCTTCCTATGAGGAGGTCCGGGCACCTCAGAAGGCAGGTGACGGGAAAACTGCTCAATGACCTTGGGTAAACCCCTCCGCCTTGCGGGCTGAGAAGGGACCACGGGAGTGGCAGCGAGG